CCCGCCCCGGGGTGGGGGGGGGGAGAGGAGAGGAAAGGGGGCGGCCCGGCGGTGAGGCGCGCTGCGTTCCTGGGCGGCCTTCCCGCGCCTGGGGCTCCGCGCCGGGGCCCGCTTCCTTCTTCGGCTGCCTTCCCGCCCAGCGTGTGGTGGTGCTGGCCGGGACGCGGCCTCCTCCCATCCCCCGGCGCCCTCCCGGCGGGGACGCGGCCTCCCTCTTCCCCTTCGCGCCTCAGGCCGGGCCCAGGCCGCGGGCTGCCCTCGCCGTGGTGTAGGGCGAAGGCTGCCGCTCCCCCGGCCCCAATCCCTTGGTCGCCGGGCCGGGGGAGCCAGGGTACCTCAAGCTGCCATTTGTTCCTGGAAGTGACAGCGGAAGCAGCTGTCGGTGTCCAGTTTTAGGACTTGAAACTCTGCTCAGGTTGTGGTTACTCTACAAGGAAATGACCCCGCGTACGGCGAGGCTCCGGCCTCGCTGCCTTGTATTGGCCCTGCCGTTGCCATTAGGCTTTGGCAGCACGTTATTTCTGTGGCGTTAGGCCTCCTGCGCGGTCACGCATTATTATTTCAAAACGGCCGGCCGGTTTGCTGGACTCTCTGAGGGTGTTGCCTGATAGAGGAAAACAACACTTATCTCTCTTGTGCAACTGAAGTACAGATTTAGTCTTGTAGATGAGCTCGTCATTCTTTTAAACGAACTTTGGGATCATTTTTGCCACTTAAAATACCAATAGTCCAAATAATCTTGATTTTTCCAGTAGTTGAGTATTCACTGTGTGCATTTCAAATGTCTTAGTGTAATTTGCAGTATTTAAGTTGGTGGTATTTTTTATATTATCTGGGATTTTTAGTCTTGGGCATCACATAGGGGTTGATATTTTTAAACAGATGTTTTTGTTCATGTTTTCTTGTTTGTCTTAACTAAAACCAGCAGTTGCCAAATACATATGTGCTCAGTGTGCTTGGCTGTTGCGAGGTACTACTTAACAGGCTCTTATCAAGGGACTGAAATACAAAGTAAGGTGCAAACACTATAAACATCATTCTTTTTTATTACATCTGAGTATTTTCAGTCAGGAACCCACTGACTTCTGGAGGATTCCTGTAATGCCAGTAAAATAGAACTGAAATAAAACCTACAGTTCCTTCTAGTATATGCAAAGCTATTGGCAATATCTCTTCTTTCTTTTATTTTTGTGGTTTGGTGTGGTTTTTTTAATGGGAATTCAGTGTTCAATTCGGTGTTATCATTTAGCCATGTTGTATGTAAACAGTGTGATGTCCTGGCTGGGATGTTTCAGGGTAATTAGCATACAGTGACACATAGATTGATATTTTTAGTTTTATTCAATGCTGTATCATATGGAAACTGTACAATGGCACATATATTTCTTTGTACTTGTTAATAGAATTTGTGTTTTCTTGTGTTAAATGTTGTTAGCCATATGGACCTCTAAATTCTCCTTTAGAGAAGCTAAAGGAGGGGTGGGGGAAGAGGAGGGAACACTGAAGATGTAGTGTAGTACTTATGCAAAGGGTTATGTGATGGTCCTGAATATTGTGAAAGAACTGGACTGTGGCCTGAGAAGTGCCTTTCAGTCAGCAGTAGCTGTTTTGTGTGTTGGGACTGTCTTTCTGCTTAGTGTTAAGCACTGTGATGCTATATGTCCAGAAATTCTTGCTGAACTTCCAGATGTAGTTGGTATTTCATAGAAAATTCATTTTCATAATGGTTTTAAGGACTTTTCACGCCTATTTGCTGTAGGTCAGTCTTTGTTTGGAGTGGAAGGCCATCTGTTCTTGTCGGAAGGACAACATGGTGGACCTGTGGTCACCACACAGTGTGTCTCTTGAATATCAAACCTATAGCAAACGTCCAGGTTGCTTGTAGGGGCAGTGACCAACCAGCCAACCTCCTGGGAACATTAGATTTTACTAGTTGTCCTGAAAACAATGGACTTGGCTGGCTGTCCTGTGCTTGCATAGTAAGCCTTGTGCTTCTGTGGGAGCCGCACAACTGGATTGTGCGTGGGCTGTGAGGGACTGTGAGAGAGCTAATAGTGGAAAGTGAGCTGCTGGGTGATATAACCATGCTCTGAAGCCTGCGCAGTTGGTGTGCCCGAATCCTGCCTGGTGCCTGCTCTGGGGGTGGAATGTAAGCTGAATTGGGTGGCCTAGTGGGCTGCATGCAGGTGGAGCGTTGCTGTTGTAAAATGTGCTGTTCTGTTGCTCCCTGAAATGTGATTTTTGTGTCTCGTTTCTTTTTGTGGTGGACCTTCTAATGGCATGGGGCGATAGCGTTTGCTTCCTTTATGCCATTGTGTTGTATAGAGTAAAGGATACTGATGGGGGCGATTTTACTTCTTTTTAAGAAATGTGTATGCGTGTAAAGTTGGCTGAATATCAAAATGAGTGGCCACCTGAAAAAATAGCCTTGAAGAAAGAGGGATGACCTATTGTTCTTGGCACTTCCAAATCCAAAGCAGCTCACAAGCACATACAGCAGAAGACAGTAATACGGCTTGGGTAATACTTGATTTGCCTTTCTTGGAACCTGTTTCAAGTTCCAGAAATAAAGGTTGGGTCTTAAGCTTTAAAAAACAAAAGTCGACAAACCCCCCTGAATTTCACTGTACTTGTGGAATTAGAGAATAAGTTTCAGTTAACTGAAAAGGAAAGTTTAATTATTCTGACTATGGAAAACACTTTTCAAAAGTAGGCCTTGATGCTCTTTGTAGAGGAAGAAACCTTAGAATCATCTAATCATTCTGGTGTGAATGATACTAAAACCAGAGAGTCTTTACGTAGTAAAGAGATTGAACAGATGTCTGTTGTATATGAGTTGTAGGCCTTATGGACAGAGTGCATAACTGCTTTATGCCATTGGTTATGGCTTCTGAGCCAGCTAGCAGCAGTTGTTTCTCACATTTGTAGACTAAATGTCGTCTTTTTGTTTGTAGATATGGCTCGTGGACAGCAGAAGATTCAGTCGCAGCAGAAAAATGCCAAGAAGCAAGCTGAGCAAAAAAAGAAACAAGGACATGATCAGAAGGCTGCAGCCAAGGCTGCCTTGATATATACCTGCACTGTCTGTAGGGTAAGGCAAAATATTATTGTAGGCAGGTCTGTCTTCCAGCCTAGAGCAGAATTTTTAGAATGATATAGTAGAAACTAAAATACTTCTTAAATGGCTGTATAACTTGTTGCTGTGAGCATTTGCATGTTATGCGACTCGCTTACAGATTACTCAGCTGTACTGATAACTGAGATACAAGAAAATTTGAGAGGTCATGTAGACATCTGTTTTGGGTAGTTTCCTTGCTTTTGAAGTGCAGGGGTCTGCATGTGCCGTTAGTATGGTGTATAAAAACACTTCCTGTTTAATCTCCAAATGCAAACATCTTTTCGTTGTGATAGAATTGGCCCATCTTAGAATCGCTGGTTATTGATGTTAACATAGAGAGGAAAAGTGTTGCCAAAAGCTCTAGTGTAAGTCTGATACACAGTAACTTCTACTAGAATAAATGACTTAAGAGAACAGAAATGTGAGTACTAATCAAATTATACTTTCCTTGTGGCTGGTTTTTCTGAACATGCTCGGTTTGGAACTGAAGGATAAACTTGCTATTTTCACTTAAATGGTCAGTCCCAGAATAGATTTGTCACTTCGAATGTCTTAAATAAGATTCCAAATTAAGGGCTGCTTGCTTTAGTACTTGTAACCAGCTCTGCTTCTTGTGAAATCAGGTGGTAGCAGCAATCATGTCGGGCAGTTGATGCCTCCAACTGTGCAGTAGCAATGGTCTGAGCTTGTGCCAAGTAGAGAATCAGTCTATGCCACATAACTCTTTGGCCTGTTGATAAACAAAAGAAATAGCTTTTGTAAAGATTTAATTCTGAAAAGGATAAATGTTTGTCTTTTAGGCATTGAAAAGGAAAACCTACCTCCTTAACATTTTCTAGCAAACCAACATGGAACTGTAAGATCTGTAGGGAGATTTTCTAGCAAGAATAATACAGTCACTAAATGCAAAAACAGCGTGATACTAGTGCTTAACAGCACCTCTCTGAAAATCTGAGGTTAAATATTCTGTCTTAATCTGCAGCTAAATTAATGGCTCTTCTGTCACTAAAGCGGTGTCATTGAGCAGTCAGTTTGCTTCAGGAAAAAGAAAATAAAACGTGGGGGGGGGAACAGGTTTTGTAGTGTCATTTAACTCTTGTACTGTGCATAAAGTTAAATGTCTCTCTTTAATCAGACACAAATGCCGGATCCCAAGACCTTCAAACAGCACTTTGAAAGCAAGCATCCTAAGACTCCACTTCCTCCAGAATTGGCTGATGTTCAGGCGTAAAGTTGTCTCCAGGTTATTACCTTAATTTTTTAAATGATTGTTTGTCAAAGTTATATTATGAATCAGTTTTTTTACCACCAGCAACTGAGACTTAAAACTTGCTTCTTTTCCTTTAATATGAAAAATAACCATAGGTTAAATTTATACTCTTGAACTGTTACACAGGAGAAGCAAACTAATACGTAGGTGAAATGGCTGGGGCATTTCACTGTGTGTGGAGGTTGTTTTAAAAGGGATTCATGTTATTTCAAATGGTCATCCTTAAGAGTTGTAGGAGTACTTTATTGTTTAGCTCTTGCTTTGAAATGTGAGTTTTGCTTTGAACAAACTATATATAATAAACACAATGTGTCTGTTGCTACAACACATGTAATGGAAGTAGTTGTTTAGTTTATTTCCAACAATTCAGCCTTTTTGTTCCTGAAGCTATGCAAGTGAATGCAGATTTTTCTGCTTTTTCTTTATTAAAATGTAAAACTTAACCTCTGCATTGACTATAGATTTCCCAATAGCCAGTCGTTAGGCTGTAACTGAAAGTGGTTATAATAAAAGTCTGAAATGAGGTAAAAAGCAGTATTATGGTATTTCATTCACATAAGCAGCGTTTGGTAACAGTTCAGCTTAACTGAGTTATTCTTGTTTTTTATAGGTGAAATCATGGCACCTATTGACTCTTCTACTGTCAGACCTTACATAACAAACCTGCAGCTGCTTTTCTAAAACTGTTGATCAGCAAAAATGAAGGGGCTACAGAAACATTCATATTTTTATGCTGTTCCCTCTTGGGCTTCATGCAAAGACAATTCTGTGTAAATGTACAGTTGTGCCCTATTTGGAAATCCTGAAAAATCAGTCCATACTTGTTATAAAAAATTTTTTACAATTGTAATTATATTGATGTTCATATTGTGTAAAGTAACTCATTTAATAAAGTAGTACTTTGATTTTACAATATCACAGATTAAATCCTTGTAGAAGTTCTGTTTCAACTTTCTGCATTATCTGCCTTATAAAATAAAGACAAAGTGGAATTTTTCCCCATCCTGCCAAAACACGAGCAGTGTCATTCCACTGAAAGTAATGTACATTACAGTAAATTAATCCAAAGTGAAGAGGGAAGCTGCTCGGATTTACTGTTCAGTGTGCTGCCTGCTTGAGCCCGCTCACTCATGGTCAAGTTGTTGGCTCAAGGGGCAGCAGACTCCTTAGGAGCTGCATGAGAATCATGAGACTTCCCTCTGCATTTTTGTCCTGTGTATTGGAGTCAAATACTGCAAGCCATTTTGAATGGGATTTCTTTACTGTGAGGGATCATGTTCCTTGAAGTCATGCACTGGAGAGACTCCTGTTACGCTTCATAGGTGGTAGATGGCTGAGGAAGCTGAGAGGTGGCAGGATTGAATGCTTCTGGGTATGCTGGCTTGAAAAATGCTTGCAAATATTAGGTTAAAGCAACTCTGCTCTTAGTCGAAAAATTGATTTGGAAAGATTTTTAATGATATTCTGAGCAGTCGGCCACACGTGTTCCCCCACAAATGCGTCTGGTTATTTCAGTAGCAACTCTTCAAGAAATACGTAAAGCAGCCGGCCATTAATAACCTTTCTTCACAACCAGCTTAAAATAAGCCTGTTGGCAAAGAGCCAAAGTAACTAAAATAATATGGCTACTTTAAGAAATCGGATGTGATTAAAGTTGCATTGACAAGAAAAAGCTGGCTAATAACTCTCTGGCCAAAAACATTTCAGCAGCTAAACATAATTACCCATAAAGTGTTCTGGGCTCAGTTCTAATCCCAGATGTACAGCACAGAAGTAGTGGAGAAACATCTGAGTTGTTGCTAGAAGAGAAGGTCTGCTATACAAAATCCCATCTTTGGCATTTGTAGGGAGCTTATTTAAGAACTTTACTTTTGACCTTGCAGTAAGTAACAATACTAGAATTGCTGCAATTTACTGAGGTTACAAGGGATGTGAAAATTCTGGCAGTCCAGGTAACCTGTGCTACGCAGCAGGACTGTACATCTGACCTTCAAATGGCTTCCTAAAATCTAGGACCATAGTCTCAAAGACTCATTCACTTAAAGGATGCACTTGGTATTTTATTATATAAAGTCAAAGCCTTTGTCTTCGTCTGCTCATTTGCTCTTTATTGAACTACTTCTGTGAGACTAGCTTCCTGTCCTCTTTGCTGTGACAGTATCTCTGTAAATACTTATTTTGGCATAAAGTTTCTCTGTATTATAGTCACTCCAGGATAACCTGTATACCACTTAACTTTTATAGATAATGTTGTTCTCCTCCGAGAGTAATCCACTACTGCACTTGTACACCTGACATCAGAATGTAACGCTTCATTTATTTTTCTTTAATGTTATCGATACATATATCCTGACAAACTGGCTCCCACAAGGCAAGAAATCTGCTCTCGACTGTTGTGCTGTATGGGGGAGAGGTACTTCAATGTTCTGATGCTGTAGTTTGTCTGAAAATACTCTTGAGTGCAAATGGATAAAGATGTTTCTTGCACTGATTGGTATTCGGTAATTTGGTTTTACTTTGGAAAATGTTCTGGGATGTATCCCTTATAGTTTGGTCCTGAGGTGAAATATATGTTCTATTCCTTCAATTCAGATTGTGTAGCCTTAAATAAAAAGATTTTGTTTCATAAACAATCTCTCTTAATGAGCACTGAAGAGCTGGAAAGCTGCATCGCTAGTGGGATGGTTAACTTCAGTTAGAGTTTATTTTCAAAACTTTATGATGCTCAAGTTGAAAATACCCTGTGAAGTGGTGTTTTTTTTTTTATGTATTAGAATGCAAGGTTGATCCTCAGTTTGATAGATCCCTAGCTGCAGTAGCTGCAATCTCAGTTACAAACATAAATGAAAGCTGTGATTGAATTGTTATAAAGGCTTTATAAGTATAGGGGGAATGCTATACTATATGGGGGGGTCATCCTCATTTAGAATATCTGCAATATTCCTTGTACTTAAAGGCCAGAGGAAGCACTAGGAGTTCTCCATCATCTCTTCCTGATCTGAAGGATGGCACCCTGTTACCTGGTAAAGACACAGTTGTGCATTGTAACGTGTCTGATTAAAGAGAATTAAAAAACTAAAATGTAAAATGTCATATTTCCTGCCTGCTTTTAAAAACAAGTATTACTGCACTTATAAAATTGGTTTCCTGGATGCGGAGCTTGAACCTGTCAAACTTTACAAGAAAAGAAAAATAGGCATGGACAGTTTGCCGTGTTCCCTTGAGAAGGATTCATCTTTGTGCAGGGGCAGCGTTTAGGTAAAGGGTCCTCATGTTGCCAGTGTGGGCTCAGCTGTCAGGGGTACTTGTGGAGCAAGTTTAAAAACTATTTTGGATTTTTGGAAGCCCCCATCTCTGGGAGTTTCTTTAAATGGGATCTGAAATAGTATTTTAAGCAGGGTTTAAAATGTTTTGGAAAGTCTCACTGTAGATACTCAGAGTGAAAGTTAGCACGTGTGATTATGGTGAGGCCGTCTCAGGGTCTACTGAGTCATCGGGAACAGTTTTGCAATTTTTGTTACTTAGGCCAGTTTCTGTACCTCCACTCTACCTATCTCTAAGGGTTGCTGGTTTCTTGCTGTCAAAAAGCTGTGTGAAAAATCCAAAACAGAAGTTGAAGGCAGTTGCTATGTAGCCTTAGGGAAATAGTTGGCTTTACACAGTGCTCTTGAAACGTCCCTGGAGACTATCCCTTTTTGGTTATTTGCTGTTGAGCTGAAAACACTTCAGCTCAAGTAAAGCTAATAATGACCACAGGCTGTTTGCAAGCCACACGGTAATGAAGGAATTTGTAGCATTTCTGTAAACTATATTGAACTGTTTTCCCATCTTGATAAGAAGAGCTAATGGAATTTCTTTTATCATTAAATACTGATAGGCTTGAGGTCTGTGTTGTTTCCCATTTTCTTAAAAACAAGTTTGGAATATCTGGCTTTTATTAAAACGTGGTCTTCCCAACTCAGTTAGTCCTGCAGAATCCATAAACAACATAAGGGTCAGCTTGTGCTTCTGTCTACAATTTTAGGGCCTTTGATTTACCTATTTAGTACCTTGCAGGTTTTGCAGCAGGCTTTGAATTCAGCCCCAAAACTCAGCGTTGGACTGGTATTCGGTATGTGATTTTCCATATTCTGCAGCAGCATCAGCGATGCTCTGCTGGTCCAGACAGTGGGAGGGTGTAAGGTTCTGGCTGTGGAATTTTGCCAATTTGTTTTGAAAATTATTTGGCATTTTTTTAATGTGTTATTGTGTTACAGTTTTTATATAGATAAGGCACAATAGAGATTCACTGAGGGAATTACCTTGGTAACTTTAAAAAAAAAAAAGAGAAATAGGTTAGGTGTATATTTTGCAATTCTTTTATATGGCTTTTAGCATTGGGGTTTCTGGGACAGGGGGAATCTTGAAGTTGTCCCAACACTGTTACCCAGCAGGAATCTGTTCAAGCAGTGTCTCAGGTTTTTCAGGAAATACAGCACAGCTTTCCTCTGAAAAACACTGTCCATTAAATATATCAAGTTGAGGGCCATCCAGCACTTTGCATGGCAAACTTCTTTGTGTGTTCCCTGTTTGTTGCTGTTGCAAAATTGCAAACAGTGTGCAACGCGTCACCAAATGCTGGAGAGCTTTCAGTGAAGCGAGGGAAATCTGAAAAAGTTTTCTAGTCAATCTCCTCCCTCTGAGATTGGATCAAACCTGCCAAGGCTAACAAGCGTTTCTCTAACTTGTTCTTGAAAGCTTCCAATGAAGGGCATCCCGTGATCTTGTAAGCAGCATGTGCCACTGCTGAACTGAACAACTGGAGAGTTGTCGCAGCAAGAGTTTGTCCCTGCAAATTAAGCCAATTGCTGTTCTTACTGGCAATAGATGCAGCAAATGGTGCCCTTGTTTGAACGTTTCTATCATGTTCTCCTTCTGATCTTCTCTCTTCAGTAAACCCAGTAAATGGAATGGCTCACTCTGTGTAGGTCATGTTTTCCAAGTCTAGGGATTGTTGGTGCTCTTCTCTGGATCCCCTGCAGTTTGACTGTGCTTCTAAATTGTGTGGTCCAAAATGTGACCCAAAGCGCTGGCTGAGGCTAGTGCAGAGTAGCTGGAACAGTTAACTTCTGGCACTTGCATACGTGGTGCTGTTCATGCACACTGGAGTGATACTTGCCTTTTGGCAACAGCATCACATTGACTTGCACTCAGTTCCTGGTCTGCGAACATCTCAGATCCATTTTGGTACCACTAAATATCTCCATTTTGTGCCTGTGTATTTAGTGTCTGCCTGTCTGTCTCTACTGGGTCTCAGACCAAATCTGTCAAGATGCCACCAATCTAGTCCCATCTCCTATGCCATTTACAGTTCATCCAAGTATGGTATTGTAGGGATGCCTTATGGATGGTCCTCTTCTACTCTATAGTCCCAGTTCATGAATGCACTGGATGGGATGGATCCCAGGCAAAGCCTTGCAGGACCCTGCTTGAGTATCTTCCCAGCTTCCCAGCTTGCCTTTGCTACATACTCTTTGAGGGCGTTTTGTAGTGCTGTGCTTTTCTTTATGGTCAATATGGTTTGGAGTCTCCTGTTTCACCTGTGAGGGCTTCATGGAAAGACAAGGCCTGTATAGCAACAGGGAGATTTGGGATCCTGTGCGCCTGTGGCCACAGGGACAGTTTTCATGAAGAAGGAGATGGATGGTGGTGGGATGCAACATACTTTGTTGTTAACAAATCCACGTTGGCTGCCTGTTGCTGAGTCACTTTTCCATATGCATTTACGAATAGGATTTTATAGAAATTACTCTAGCCTTTTTCCAGGTGTAGGTTGACTGAAGAAGTCCCCTGTTTCTTTTCAAATTCCTTGTGCTTACGCCACTGCTCTCTCAGACTTCTCTGTGCTCTGTGAGTTCCCAGAGCAACACTCATGGTCCACACTGACGTGGCTGATCGCTGGAGCATCCTAGGGTAAGAGTAATGAGCTGTTGCCAACTTGACATACCATCTAAGTCCTCTGAATACTTCCACTTCTCTTTCAACTTCTTAACATGCTTTGTTTAGTTAACTTCTGACTGAAGGGCTGTTTATTACTTATTTGTAAATCTTATCTTTCATTTTCTTTCCTTCCTCATCAAATAATGTACCTATACTGAACTTTATCTTTCCCTAGGTATTTATAGGCTTTGTATCTCCTTTTAGAACCTTAGCTGGTTTTTGATTCTGATAATGAAACTGGTATCTGTTGACTTCTGATCCACCTAAAACCCACTCCCCCGACTGCCTCTCAGGATCCACACTAACTCTTAAATTTACAGCACGCTGCACAACCTTTGAAAATCCCTTTTAGTTTTTTTGTTGGGAGCTTTATTTTTTTTGCACAGTTTTCCCACCATGAAGCTCTCAGAAGCTCTGTATACTCTGTCCTGATCAGTTCATGGTCCCAAACGTGCCAGAGCTGCAGACTTTATCGTTAAAGTTGGAGCTGTGCTAAGTATTTACTTACTCATAGGTTGACAGTGAGAGAAGACACAATAGACCAGGCTGGCCTGATAAATCTCCTGAATGTACAATGGCTGTTATGCTCTATATATATCTATATAGCACTAATTAGAGTAAACACCCAAGTGACTTCTCACCAGACGTCGTTCTGACCGTATCTTCCTCTGGTTTTCAAGGCTGTCCCTAAGCTTTAATCATTGCCCTCTGTTCTTTTCCATATGGATGCCGATGCCATCCAGCCCCTTGTGGGTGATGGTGTCTGTCTGCTCTACCTCTTGTTTTCTGTAACAGGGTAATACCCAGACCGTCCTTTGTGTCTTACATGGTGCTTTGCAAAATGAAAGTACTCCTGGAAAACAAGTGCCTGTTAATTGCACAGCATACTCTCAGGCCAACGGGATGGGCCTTCATTTTTAGCTTCCTACTGATGTGCCTTCAACTTCCAGAAGCCATTACCTGCTGATAGTTTTAAGTCCCTTTTGGTGTACATGTTTTCTTTACCAGAAAACGGTCACTACATATTTTCTGATAAAATGGCTGCTTGATATTTAATTATTTGTGGATCTTTTGAAGGGTATTTATTTCCAACCAAAAGAATAATTGAGGAATGTCTTCTGAAAAAAAAATACGTCTAAAATGTGTAGATAAGTTCTGCTGGTATTCAGAATTATTCTTACGGTCATTACTCAGTTTCTGTTACAATAATGCTTAGCACAGCAGCTCTGTCTGTTGCTGAAGGTGATACAGTTCAGTTTTCGTGTCACAGGGGGCTGTGTGCCCTATGAGAACTGAACAGAATGGTCTCTGTGCAGTGGAGCTCCTTTTTCTATCCACGCAGAAACAGAGGCGGAAATAATTTACATTTATGACTAGATTTCACTTGCTGTATTTTGTAAATTTAGGTTGTGATTTTAGAAGAAATTGCTTAATCCTTAGATACATTTTTTTTAAAGGGCGCCTGCTGCTATTAGCTCTTACCAGATCAATGCTGAAAGAGAATATTTTTCATAATGAGTTCTAAGAAATACTGTTTATTAAGGACGATGGTAAGAAAGGTTAAGAAATCATACACAGCTGCTCTTTGCTGCTGCAGTAAATCATTCGAAGAATTTGCTATTATGCAGCTGAAATAATGTGACACTGTTTGGATCATAACTGCCACTAGCGAATGAGGACAACTCCTCAGCTTCTGGCCTGCTTTCTAGACAGACAAAGCACGCTTGTGTTTTTCTGAAGTAATAATTGAATTCTACATCACTGAAGTCAGTAGGAGCTTAATTCTGTCATTTGCTAAATATTCCCGTGTGTGTGCAGAAAGCTGCTACTTTTGAGCATCTTTGTAAAATCTATAAATTACATGTTACTAGAATCAGTTTAACTGACCTCTATATCAGTTAGAAGACAGGATTTTTGTGTGTCTAGGAGATAGATGCACTAGTTTGGTGGAGAAAACAGTGCTGCACTAAGACAGACTATAGTAGATAAAGTTATAAGATGTTTTTAGACCACAGGCACTGTCAATAATCAAAATTTCTCCTGCTATTTCATCATAAGCCTTTTAATTGGAAATGCCATGTGGACAATATGACTCTGGATCT